ATGTATAACTGGTCGCAGTCCTCCTGGCATCCTCGATAGCCTCGACAGCCATGTGATGTGAGTATCAGTCACATGGAGGCAGTGCTTAAAAGCCTGAATTTTGCCTGAAACTCTCAGACTGAAGAAGTCTCTTGGAGAAGAGACGAAACATTTCATTAGAGAAGAACCCGTCCAGAAGACCTATACAATTTATTTCCTTTTGTTTTTTTTAGTTTTTCTAACTCACTTTTTTTCATAGAAGTCTATATTGAGATGTCTGTAATTCGTTTAAACATGTCTCTGTAAATTCTGTCCATCTTTGTCTTTTTAGGCTACTTTTAGGTTTAAAACTATTTATTACTTGTAGTGTTTGCTGGGTTTTTGCTAGCCTTTTTTTCTACTTTTAGTGAGAGTTTGTGGAAGTGCTCTCGCTCCTGATCCCTTTAGTTTAAAAGGCTATACATCCAAAWGCTTTGCCGTATCTTGAAAGCTTTACGATGCCTTCATCTTTAGCCAGAAAAGTAGGAGACTCAGGCTCGCAGCCACAAAGCTTCACTGGCAACACACACTTTTTCTGTAAACTTGAAAATGAATGGCAAAGTGCGCATACGATTTTAAGGACTTTGACCGAGACAGTCCTCGTGCACGTGCGTTCACTTGTGTTTGTACATGTGACCCCCCCGAGGTGCAGAAAAGCAAAGGAATGACAGCGAATATTAATACCACCGGAGGGTCCCCCGAGCAGCGTGTAAATATGGATACAATGGAAATGCACCGTGCAATTATGGCTGAGTTCATGCATTTTTCACTCGGTGGGAAGACGGAGGGTGAGTGGGGGATGGGAAAAAAGAAAACAAAAAAAAGGGAAAATAATGACAGACAATTCGGAAGAAGAATAAAAGAAATGTGTTCAAAAATGCTTCAAAGGGAAATAATACAATAGAGAGGAAGGAGTTTCTTGTCCTGCATGAAAGCAGACACAAGGGTGTGCTCTCTCCCTTTACTCGACTCTGTTCCTCTGACACCCCCCACCCCACCCCATAACCTCCACACAAACTCATCACCACCGTACAGACAGAAGGCTAATCTTTATTCTTTAAATCTTGAAATACTTGATTGGTTATGACAGAAATCAAAGGAGGTCTTTTCGTGTCTTTATGGTGGCATCTCTCAGCACACTGCACTGTCACCCTCCCTCCTCACGCACACACAACCACACACACAAAAACACACACTGCTTTTCTGCCATGTTGTCACCCCCAACCACCCCCCCACCCCCTGCCGAGATTGCAGCGGAAAAAAAAAACCACCATTCAAGTTTAGGAAACAAATTAATTCATGTGTCGGAGATCAGCTCCCTGGCTGGGAGGTAGCAGAACGCCTGTGACAACAGTGCTGCTCCTCTCCCCCTGAGTGTTTTATGAACGCTTGTTCTGGGAGGAAGAACTTCAATAGAGTATCTAATGAATCCCGGAGAAACAAACATGTTTTAGCGATATGTAATAGAGCGGGAACAGAAGCAGAGTGTGGCATTTCATGCACGCGATCTTCAAAAACTCAAAGTTATCATGCACCTCTTGTTGAAGCCACTGATGTTTGTTTATTCTCCTGCTGCGGAAACGCTGACTCAGCATTCACACGATTGATTTAGTTTTTTTTACACATTTTTTTTGCAATATTTTCTGCATATTATTCTGCTGTTGTAGTCATTCAAAATATGCTCAACTGATTCAGAAGACGGGCGTTTTGACTGTCTTTTGTAACTTTTTAAAATATTGAACTTTAGGTCTATTTATTTTCTCTTAAAAATACGATGAATTATTTTTAAAKATTTTTATAAAAACGTTGGTTTCTTTAAAATCTGCTTTAGCATGCTTGCTCTGATTTTGTCTTTGTATGCTGCTTTTAGGTTTTATCTAGTGTTTTAGATTTAGCTTCTTTCAGCTAGCCTTTTGCTACATTAAGTTTTTCCTGGCTTTTGACTAATTTTAGTCAGTGTTCTGTAACTTTTGCTTCTTTTGGCTTAGACTTTTGCTTGTTTTACCTATCCTTTAGCTATACTTTGTATTTGACCATTGACTGCTTTTAGCTTTTAGTTAGTGTTTTGTTAGTTTTTGCTTTAAGCTAGCCCTTTGCTTTTTTTTCTGTAGCCTTTAGCTACATTTACTAATTACCTGACCTTTGACCACTTTTAGCTTTGAACAAGTTTGTTACTTTTGGTGTTCAGTTTTTAGGAAGCACTTTGCTTCTTTTAGTTGTTAGCACTTCTTATAGTTTTTGCTAACATTTTGCTACATTAAGTTTTTATCTGGCTTTTAATGACCTTTAGGCAGTGTGTTTTTTAACTTTTGGCTTAGCTAGTCTTTTGCTTCTTTTGGCTTGGCTTTTTGCTTATTTTGCCTATCCTTTAGCTACACTTTGTATTTACCTGACCTTTGACTGCTTTTACTTTTGGCTTTAAGGCATCCCTTTACATATTTTACATAATCTTTAGCTACATTTACAAATTACCTGACCATTGACTACCAGTAGTTTTAGCTTTCAGCAAGTTTTGATACTTTTAGTTTTTAGCTTTTAGGTAGCACTTTGCTTCTTTTAGTTGTTATCATTTTTTATATTTTGTTATTTTTAGTTACTCTTTTGATTTTAGCTAACGGTTTGATACTTTTTGGTATTATTTTGCTTTGTTTGGCTTTTAGTTAGTATTTTGCCCTTTTTTAGCTTTAACAACTCATTCTGAGCACCTTCAGTAAATTTCAGTAAACTCATCCAACAATCTACATTCTCACTGCATTTTCAATAAAAATGCAATTTCTCTATCTTTTTAAAGTTTGAGCTCTTGCCTTTTCCTAATATCAGTATTCAGCAAGCGCACCATGAAGTCAGGGAGAATTGGTGGGTAAGCACAATATCACTCTCAATCAATGTCTTTTATCACGAGTCCAAACACTTTGAACACAGACGGCTGCAGACTAAAGAGGAAGTGAGGACAGTCACAAAGCACAACAAAAATGAAGCTCATTGAGACATAACTCCTCTCGCAGYAATCCCGGTGCAATTTGAGTCCGACTCCGTGGACTAAAGCGGCACCGCGGATGACAAAATGCTCTCACAAATAGGCTTGTGAAAGCATCAGCTAAGAGTTTGAGAGTCTTGTCTATCATTCTCAAAAGAACAGAAATGTAATTTGTTAAGAKTGACAACGAAAGTGCTGCTTTTGGAGGGTACGATGAAATCCTGCAAGCAGAAACCAAAACATCCATAAAACAAATTTAAGACTTTTACAGGGAAGGAGCATTTTGTGTTTAAATGCGATATTTGGAAGCTGAAGAGTGATGTGATATTCAGCCCCTCACCTTTGGTGCAGAACGGTCCRTTGAAGGCAGTGGTGGTACAGTCGCACAAATAGCCGTTATACCTTTCCACGCACTTCCCTCCATTCCTGCAGTACATCCCAAAACTGGTACAGTGACCCTGGCAGCCGGGCTTAACCCCGGGCGTGACTTTGGCCCTTTCCTCCAGGTCGAGGGTGATGCCGTTCATCCGTAAAGCTCTGATACAACCCAGGAACCCCCTCTGTCCTCCTGCAGCACCTGAAGAGCAGAAAATAAAAAAAGGAAAGAAAATGAAGCCAAAGAAAGATTGAAAAATAAGGTTCAGGGTTACAGAAAGTGATTCCGAAAGCGAGAGTCCTCTGTTTTAATCAGTTTTCGGAACCGTTAATATCCTAATGCCGCGAGGAAGCCRCTGATGTTATGCTAATCGCTCAGACTGCAGCGTCGTTCTTGAAACAACCTTCAACTCGTTTGATTCCTTGGCTAATTAGAACCGCCTAATGAACACGCTTCCTTAATGAACATCTCACCAGCGCTCACGTGCTAATAGATGCAGGTAAGCGACATGCTACAAGCAAACAAACGCACGCCGCACACAGCGTATCGGTGAGTCGATACAAGCATTAATGCTTAGCCTTGGGGTGTCGATGGCCATTTTTCCCCAATGTGCTTCTATTACCTTTCTGGGCTTGCGCCATTACAGTCTAACTACCCATTAATGTAGACAAGGTAGGAGTGTTAAATAGATACATTTGCACCTAAATGACTACAGCAGTAAACACTCCCATAAACATGCACCCACAGGTATTGAATCAAGCACACAAGTATACGTACTGAGGAAAGACATGTGAGTGTGCACGCATCCTCATGGGCACCATCATTAAGAAGAGCCATGGGACGTTTTAGTTATTAAAACCTCTAAATTGCAACCGCTGGCTTACAGAAAAGCGCCCATTAAAGAAAAAAAATCAACTTAAGAACGTTAAMATGCAGAGTTTCCTTCTTTATCAGTGTTTTTTGTATGAAACAGAAGCAGGAAAATCTAAAAACAATGGAGCAACATTTTAATTTTATAACTAAATGCAAAGATTCTCTCAAGTMAATATTTTATTCACAAATAAGTATGCAGGTGGGTTTTTGCACCTGCTTTCTCTGCTTTCCGGTCTCATAAAGAATTAGAGTCTTAGTAGACCTCTTAATTAATCTATTTTGTAGCACTGATTGGCTGGAGGTTTCTGCCACCTGTTTACCCAAGGCTAAATCAGTCTCTGATTAAACGGACAGCAGGCTCCGGAGCCTGCAGAGGCCGAGGCAGGCGCACACATGACGCATCCTGATGCACAGGTGCGCGCCGCTTCTTTACAACTCGTCAACGCTACTTTAATAGAACTTGATGGAGACTGACTAAAGTCTGTGCCATGGATAACTTAACGCAGCTTGAAATTTCTGGTGTTTAAAAAAAAATCAAACGCTTGAGCCAATTTGTAACAGTGTCTAAAGATGGTGTTTTATGGAGTTCAGGAAACAGATTGTGGCTGAGTCTTTTAAAAGCTTCAGGGAAAAAAAATCTTGATAATCTGAAATATGCCAATGAAAGATGTGACATTCAGAAGCATAGATTTTGAACATTTACCATTTTAATCAAGACCTCAGGTAATTAAACTCAACAGCCAACTGAAATATTTTCAGTACCTCATTTGAACATTAAACCATGGTGGTGAACATATAAAATTAGCACAAAAAGTACAGAAATTTGTGTTTTGGTARCTTATTTCTTTGTTGTAACAATGCTTCTTGGTAATAAATCTTAAATCAGTAGAAAGTCTAATTTCCCTTCTAAATGGTGCCACATTTGTAAGGAACATGCATTTGTGGGATGAAAGCAGAGCTGAGTATGTGCCTATTGACAATTGTTTTGAGCTTCTGTTACGCCCAGGTGCCGCCAATCAGGTGCCTGCTGTAAGATTTATCATCAAGAAGCATTGTTACAACAAAGAAATAATATACCAAACACAGATTTCCTTACTTTTTGTTCTAATTATAGTTTATTTAGGTGAATGCAAGTATTGCTGGGTTGCTGTTAACGTAGTATCAACGTCACGAAATGCAGACGTGGGGTGGGGCAGCTCCAATTCCTTCTGTTGATTCAACGTCAAAATGCCTAAACTCTGTGCCGTGTACGGTTGTTGTAATTGTTCTAATCGGGAGAAATTTAAAGATTTTTTTCGTATTTGGAAATTAGTGTGTCAAAAAAAGATGACAAAAGTGGATCAACAATCTACGGCTGAAAACAGGAGGTGTGGAAACAAACAATGCAAGAGTTTGCAGCGAGCACTTTCCAGGAATCGCATTGTTAAAATCGTATTTTCTGATATTTTATTAGACAGTTACTGGAATTWGTGTTTACAAAAGTTAAATAAATTATTTACAAGTAGAACCAAGCACACAGAAATAACAGATTAACTCGTTGTTAGCGATAGCATTGTTATCATAGGCTAACTACTTAAAATAGCACAGCTCACTACTCACCTGGGCAAAAACAAGTCGACAAACATTTAAAACTTCTTTGGATCCTAAATGTTTGACCCAACCTGAAACAAAATAATTGTAGCTTTGAGGCTTTTGAAAGCTTTTATCTGRTTCGTTACATAATACGAGGTCTGCAGCAYCAGATAATTAATYGCCTTGAYGCCGGGTAAATACTCAAGATTATATGAGTCTATTTTTATTAAAACAATATGTATAATATCCTAAATGTACRCATATTTTTTATGATATCTCATCTSCGCCAGMCYATTCAGGGTTTATAMTACATGCGTCTCTGCTCCGCTGCGCTGCGGTGCGCAGTTCGCAGCTGTGTACTCACTGTGTTCCTTTTCGCTGTTTTAAACCTGAGCAAATCACTTCCTGTCCCCCATCTGAATTTCACCCGTCACCTGGGTCACGTGACTGCAACCCAGCAATACACGTGTTCTGTGTCTTCTTGTGCTTTATTATTTTTAAGATCAAATAACTAAAATGACCTACAATTTAAATTAAAATCGACTATTTTATGTTATTAATTTACACCAGCTTTGAGCACAAAGCTTATTTTCACGCTTCCATTCTAAACCACATCAGAAATAAACACAAAAGCCATTTGATGCTCTGAATAAATGTTACCTACTGTCTTGGCAGGTGAGCGAGGCTGGTTTTCCTGTGGCAGGYGTCACACACATGCAGTGAGCAGCGACATGCAAGAGTGCGGTCCATGAAGACAGAAGCAAATAAATAAATAAATAAAGCATTGCACAAAAGAAAAACGAAACAATACAAACATAAGAGAACTTGGCAAATGCACAACAAACACACAGGCGAGGGCGAGGAAATAATCAAGATGGAAATCCAGATCCAGATGGTGACATAAAAGTAATAAAACATTGTAAGATTTTTAGTTATGTGCATGTATGGGAAGCTAAAAGTTAACAGTGTGAAGTAAATGACAGCAGGCTGACGGTGTAGCATTTACTTTCAAGGCCATTAGAGCAAATGAGGCACTGTGCAGTAAACACTAAAGCAATCAAACGCTTGACAAGAAGCATATTGATCAAGAGGGAGTRAAGGGGATGATACAGACACAAATATACAAGCAAGGTAGGCAAAATAAAGACACTTATKTGATGTCTTTGCCCTGTGCTTGTGGGAAACACAACAGATCATTTAAAGTGCTTCTTTCTAGAGCTAATTTGTATTTTAAAGATTTGTTGCAGCATAAATGAAAGTGGCTTTTTTCCCCAAGTTACTGGCTTGCATCACATTGTCCCACTTTAAGCTGTCAAATAAATAAAACCCAAATACAACTACAATAGTATTCTCTCAGTTTTGTTGCCGTACGGCTCTGAATTTAAATGGATTTTTAAACTATGAGCAGTGAAAAAACTCTAAGAATATAAAGTTAAATGAGGGGATAAAAATTGTTTTGAATAATTATAAGAAAAATAAAAATGGAGAATGGTGCATGCATATGTTTTCAGCCCCCAAAACTCAATACTTTGTAGAGCAAATTTTTTGCATCAAGTGTCTTCAGGTCAATGTAATCAATGGAATCTTTATCCATTCTTCATGAACAAACTGCCCCTTCAGATGGATGCTGCTTGTTTCTAACAGATTCTCAGTTGGACTGAAGAGTGCATTAAGGGTCATTGTCCTGCCAGTCACCAATTTATGTAAAACACCAAGTTCCTCAAACATTTCTATTTGGCTGAATCCATCTTTTCTTTAGGTTTGACCCGTTTCCCAGTCCCTGARGAAAAGCAGTCCAAAACAAGATGCTGTCACCACCATGCAGCTTAGGAGTCATGTTTTTAGCATGAGAAGTGGTAGATTTGCCTCAGACAAGGTGTTGTTTTATTAATGATCTACATTTCATCTGATCACAGCACCATCTTCACGTTTGGGGAAAATACAATCCAAACAGCCTTTTTTCCCCTTCAAACAATATCATTTCCCTGCCTCTCTTCCATAAAACCCAGCTCTTTGCAGTTTATAGTGGTCCAATGAATCTTTGTCCTCCTGGATGTTCCTCTGATCAATGCTCTTCTTGTTCAGTGTGAGTTTTGGTGGACCTCCCACTTTCGGCAGATCTRCTCTGGTGGCCTCATATTTTAATTTCCTGATCTGTTCAGGGTTCTAAGGTGTCGAACCAGTGTTGATTCTGGCATCTGTTACAACAGATGTTTATCATTTGACAGGCTCAGACCATTTTCCACAGATTGCTCCACAGGTGGGTCTTATTTACCAAATTCTGTGGCACCTGAAATCAATGTTCAGGAAGTCAAGCAGTCAAATTTACCAATACTTTTGCCACCCGTTCTACAAAGAGATCCAATATTTGCCATTGGAAGGCACAATACTGTTGCCTGCAGGACTTTACCAAATCTCTTGATCAAACACAACACAATTGTTATCTACAGGCCAAATGTGAACCTCTTCCCGTGAGTGTTCGAGTCACTTCCTGTGTATTTCACTTCTCGAGGTGATGCTGTATTCAGGATTAAATAGAGATTAACAACCAGATACACAAGAGGGTCGTCACCTCTGTGGCTGTGCTTGCACATGATCTTTCTCTTGCTTACTCTGAAGAAAACGAGACGACCCAAAAAGTGTCAACACAGTTTGGTTTATGGGTTATGGTTAAATACTTATAAATGGATGTCCCACAAAGACAAAGCTGTTTTTGCCTCTTCCCGTTGAGCTCAATAACAGCACAAAGATACTCCAAGAAGCCTCGGTTCACAATGAGGTGAGGATGTTCCAATCAGCAGAAGCGATGAGAGAGGAAGGAATTATATAACAAACGGGGATCAGGAGCGTTAATGCTATCGCTTTGGGATGCCTGATTGGAATTGGGAACAATCTCTTTTGAGCAGAACTTTCTCCCTGAGATATAAGGAAGTCTATGATTCGCCTCAGCACTTTTCCCTCTTTCCACAAATCCCTAAAAAAAAAGAAGTCTTTTAGCTCTGGAGTTTGGTCAGCAGAGCACTACCAGCTCAGCACAAAGGAGGACAAATGAAACTGAGAGCGAAATCACACGAAGGAGAACCGGACAGATATTCTGCCGTTTGAACTCTTGTTCAGCTTGAGGCGTCGCACGGACAGCCATCAGGACGAACGCTAACTTTTCCAGCAATATTAAAGCATAACTTGGTCTGTCTGATAATCTYTTTGTGATGTTAATCCACAGTAATATAAATGCTGATTAAAGTATTAAAGTCAGCTCAGAGATGACAGCTAAAAGGAAGTCCATTTTAAATTTATTAAAACTTTGATCACCAATGTGGACGACTTTCCGAGCGTATGTGTGAAGATGAAACACGTGTGTGTGTGTGTTTTGGTGTGTGTGTTAATTAATGACTGCTGTCACTAAGCTGTAAGGATGTGTTTCCAGTAAAGCCGTCACATATTCAGCAAAAGAAACAATCAGCTGCTCCCACTGTTCTTATCTGCGGCAGCATTACTGAAAATAAAGTTTATAGAGAAAGTTTTATTTAAACAACAGTTAAATACTCATTCATAAAGGATTTTTGCTTTTGACACATTAAAGTTTAATATTAATGTGCATTAGCGACTGTGTTGTTTGTCCTTCAGAAATCTAAACTTTAATGTTTGAACTGTCCTTCATATTTTCACTTTGTTTAAAGGGGACATACTGAGCAAAATACAATTTTTTAGCTGTTAAATACATTTTGTTGTGTACTTTGAGGAGTGCAGAAAAGTTTAATTTATTCTCATGGTTGTAGGTATCTTTATATTCTGTTTGGGTCGTTTTCTTCAACCTGTCCAGTATTTGTGACAGAACTTCTAAATAAGGTCTGGACTTACCAACCACAGTTTGGTGGTCTTCATTGTCCTCTGGCTCTGGGTCAGACTCTGGCTTCAACATGTAAAGCTGGATGGACAAGTCTTGCCTTGCTGACATCTTTTAATTAAACTGTTTCTGCRCAGCTATATAGTYGTAAACCCCTCTATCAAACTAGAATGAACCGGTCTGGAAGCTGAAGGGGGAGTGGAGTATGAAGCACCTCATTTGGATTTAAAGAGACAGCCTCAAAATGAGTTGATCTGAGACACACCTCAGAAAAGGGGCGGGGCTTGTGGAGTTACAAYAAGAAGGAATTCAGACCAAAGCACTGCAGATCCACTTTATAAAGATGCCAAYTGAATGATTTAAATGTGGAAAAAAAGGAGGATTTAAAAGCAGATTTAAGTGTGTTGGTGTGTGTGTGTGTGTGTGTGTGTGTGTGTGTGTGTGTGTGTGT